AATCTACCTAACTGGATATAGAAAAAGAGGCCCTAATCCTTCCAACCTCCCCTAAACAGAGGCTACCTGCCTCCCAATCAGATCCAGACCTGTGTGTAGGGGGTCGGGGATGGCACTGGGCCCTCAACAGTATGGTCACCACTGGGCCCCTGGGGAGAAAGGGCAAAACAAGACAGCCCTCCCTGGGAGGCCCAGACTGGGGCTGGGGGGGGGGGAGGGGGAGGCTTCCAATCCCCAGAAGGGCCACCTGGGGGCGGTGCGCGGGCCAGGAGGCGGAGCGGGAGCGAATCCACTGGGGAGGCATCTTGAATGGCTCATTAGTGCCGATGAAAGCCTTTTTTCATTTCGTCTAAATACTTTAAACAGGGCTCCCTCTGATGTCTATTTGCATAGCTTAAGAGCTAATGTGGGGGGCAGGGCCCAGGCACTGGTGGGGCTGAGTTGGGGGCTGCATAAAGCTCTGGGCACACTCAGTGGAAGAAGCTGGCTGCGAACTAGGCTGGAGGGATAGGAATTGAGGGAGTGTTTCTCAGGCTCCACCCGCTCAGAGGCTGCAGCCCCCAGCCCGGTCTGACAGGGAAGAACTGTGAGAGGGAATGGGGAGGGGGCAGTACCTCCTTGTGTCCAGGCACCAGGTGGACTGGACTGGTGAAGTCATAGGAGCCTGTAGTGTTGTGGTCACCAGTTCTGTCCTGTATGGACATACAGCGGCTTCAGATGGGTGCCTGCCCTCTATCTACATGGATGGTTGGGATTATACTTGTTTATGTCTGACAGGTCATACTGTCACCAGATAGGGAACATGGTCCCACAGAGAAGAGAAACCTTCCCAGGCATTCCCTGAGGGGACCTCTTTCTCAGCCTCCAGGACACTGCTATTTAGAACGTTTAGAGGAGACAAAAGCACTTCTCTGGAGTGACTTAGGTAGCAGAGCTGACGTTTGTACCAGATCTGTGTGACCCTGGCACTGTTGAACAGTGTTGGAGATCCACTTTGGGTCTCTGGTTCAGAGGCTCTTTGGACATGAGTGAAGGCTCCCTGAGTTCCAGGCGGATGGCTTCTAAAGGGCTTGGGCTTAGCTCAGGCTTAATAGAATTGCAGATACCAGATCTGGCCCCAGCTCCACTTCTAAGCTGCACTAGAGCTTGGTCTAATCCATTCCTCTTTGTGGGCCTTCGCTGCTGTTAGCTCATTTTCTTTTTTCCTGCTAGTGAGGCTTGTCTGGAAAGACTAGGAGCCTTGCAGCTAGACAGACACTGGTTAACTCTTGGCTCCAGTACTGTGAGAATGATCAAGTCCTTGCCCTGTTGCTCCAGGTTTTTTGTAAAGAAAGAAGAGGACTCCCATCTCACAGAGTTGATTAAATAATATAAGCTCTGGGAAAGACCTGATTCAAGCTTACCATAAAACTGAGCATTCAGGTCCCTGGAATTTTTTTTTGTCAGTTGTGGGGCTTGAACTCAGAGCCTGAGTGGTGTTCCTGAGCCTCTTCTTGCTCAAGGCTAGTGCTCTACCACTTGAGCTACACTGCTACTTCTGGTTTTTGAGTGGTTAGTTGGAGATAAGAGTCTCATGGGGACTTTTCTGCCCTGGCTGACTTCAAACTGCGATCCTCAAATCTCAGCCTCCTGAGTAGCTAGGATTACAGGCATGAGCCATTCTCACTGGCTTGTGTGTGTGTGTGTGTGTGTGTGTGTGTGTGTGTGTGTGTGTGCCAATCCTGGGACTCAGAACTCAGGGCCTCAGTGACGTTTCTGAGATTTATTTATTTATTTATTTATTTTTGCTCAAGGTTAGTACTCTACCACTTAAGCTACAGCTCCATTTTGGCTTTTTGGTGGCTAATTGAAGATTAGAGCCTCATGAACTTTCCTGCCAGGGCTGGCTTTGTTCTTGCCTGGGCTGGCTTCTAATGGCAATCCTCTCAGCCTCCGGAGTAGCTGGAGGCTACTCATGCATGAGCCACCAATGCCCAGCTGGGTACCTCCTTTTGCTGGTCCCTTAATCACGCTCTACCCTTGAACTCTGTCAATGAGGCTGCGAGAACTCCCTGACCTCTCAGTCACAACCCTAGGGATTTAGAAGGCATATCTCAGGGCCTCAGACCTCTGACAGTCAACGGGTATCTAGAGATGCCTGCCTGGGAAGCGGTTTATCTCCCAGAGATTATCTTGCCCTTTCTGACAGTGGGTGGTGCCCACTGGGGACCAAGTAGTAGCTGATTTTGGAATCAATTTGCTGGTTTGATATGCTATCTCCATTCCATTTAACCAAGTGCTCAGTGCCCCTAGATAACACAATCAGTGCAATCGACAGTGACGGGAGGTACCCATTAGTTCCACTCCATTGCCCAGCACCTACCTGGCTGCCAGCAGGAAAGCTGTGCCCGCTATGGTCACTTCCCTAGTCAGAGGTTCTCTGTACACTTCCTCTCCCAACAAAGAGTCCCACAAGTGCCCACTCTGGGAGACAGGGAGGCACGTCTTTTGGGGAGTAGTCCTGGAAAGAGACCCATAGCAATGAACAGATCCAGGAATTCCTCTCATATCATGCTAAGAATAGTCTGCTCCCCTGGCAAAGACTGAGTGACATCTGGGAGGTGGGCAAAGAGAGTAGCCCTGTCCGGGCATATCACAGGCACTGCCTGAACCCTCCATTACTGATTTAGATCAAAGGCTTCCGGCATTGTCAGACCATCTGCTCGGTGGGGGTGGGGGTGAGTCTGGCTGGGCATCTAGTTTGGACACTGTGATATTGGTGCCTAGCATGAATGCCAAGGCACAGATGGGCTATTTTAGTGGGCATTTCGAGACATAGCAGTTGGTCTCAGTTTCTTAAGGCTTTGGGTTGTCTAGTCTTCTCTGACCCAGAGGACTGGAGAACCTTCCAACTTAAACCCGCCTCCACCACCCCAGTTTCCTCTCTCCTCCCATTTGTCTGACACATCAGAGATTCTATGGTCTCCTGAACAGAATGTAGGCCATCTGCCACTTCTTCACTCCTGCCAATCCATGGGGTGGGTGTAAGCCTGTGGAATGACAGGCCCATCACCAGACATAATGCTGAGCCGACCTTCTCCTTGCAATCTCTGCCACGTCACCTGGTTGTACTTCCTTTCAAATCCTCATTCAGCCATTTTGAGAACTGTAAGGATCAAGAATCACTGGCCAGCCTTCTCTGAGATGAAAAAATTCTGTATGAACTGAATCTGAAGCTTATATCCATTGACCTTAGGCAGTTAAGGAAGGATCTAGGGAACCTAATGGGCCACAAGCAGAATATACATCACCTTTCCAGTTATGTAGTTGAGTCAACATAATCAATAGTAGAGCCATGCATACTTATGACCAGAGATAGCAAATTAAGTGTCATCTTCTCTCACCTATCTATTTAAATTTGTATGGGCTGCCTGAATAACTATATTGAGAGAGATTCAGAAGTCCTGTGTGGTCTCTCAGCAAAAAAATAATCAAAATTGATCAGCAAACCAGGTGCCAGTGGCTCACTCCTTAATCCTAGCTACTCGGGAGGCTAAAATCTGAAGATTGTGGTGCAAAGGACAGTCCTTGAGATTTTTATCTACAATTAACCACACACACACACACACACACACACACACACACACACACACACACACACACACACAAACACACACACACCCTGCAATAGAGGTGTGGCTCAAGTTGTAGAGGACTAGCCTTGAGTATGAAAGCTCAGGAGCAGTACCCAGACCCTGAGTTCAAGCCTTAGGACCAGTATCTCGCCCCGCAAAAAAAAAAAAAAAAATACACAAAAGAACCAGAGACATGCATGGCCCAGTAATTGAGCACCTGCCTAGCAAGTACAAAGTCCTAAGTTCAAATGCTAGTAATAAAAAATAAATAAATAGGGGGCTGGGAAGGTGGCTCAGTGGTAGAGCGCTTGCCTTGCATGCCTGAGGCCCTGGGTTCGATTCCTCAGCACCACATAAAGCAAAAAGAAAAAAGCCGGAAGTGGTGCTGTGGCTCAAGTGGTAGAGCACTAGCCTTGAGCTGAAGAGCTGAGGGACAGCGCCCAGGCCCAGAGTTCAGGCCCCACGACCGGACCAAAAAAAAAGTTTTTAAAAAGAAAAATAAGTAAAAGATAAGAGAGACTCTGGGGTACATATCAAAAAGAAAAGGAAAGTAGTAGTATTTCATTCAAACCTAAAAAAGACACTCGGTCTTACAGATGAGAAAACTGGGATTTAGAGAATTTAGTCTATTTGCTTGAGACCACACAGCCCCGGTCTAATCAGTGTGGAATTTGAGGCTACATTTGCTCCAGAGCTTGGCTCTTGCAATTCTCCTCATATTACTGATCTAGAAGCATAAAATCAGGAAAGAGGAAAAGAGAAATGATTTTCTGAGATGTGAGAGAAATGAAACTTCATAGGACCCTAACAAAAAGCCACTCATATTTGAAGGAATTTAAAATAAAATCTCAAATATGTGAAGTATTTGCTAATGACCAGACCTAATAATTTTCTGCACTATAATTTCAGGCAGAAAAGTCACTGTGGTGGGGGAAAGCACTCTTGCTAACATCTTGGTCTTCTCTTTGACTGGTCTTGTGTCTTTAAACAAACTATTTCTTTTTTTCTGACCTATCTTCTCATTAGTAAAATAAAGCCTTGAGCTAAGGCAAATATTTATTAGTCCTATCTTGGCTGCCTGGCACACCATGTTGTAAAGGATTCTAAGGTCAAATCTGGGTACAGCAGGAAAAAGTGCAATGATCGATTTGTAATGTCTGTCTTGGGTGCTGGAGGAGAAAGGATAGCTCATGTGCCATCCTTGAAGTATGTGATATCATCTCACTTCCAGCTCTAAAATTTTATAGCTCCATGACTCTCAACAATGAGCATACATCCCAAGGCTCTCTGTCAAAAGGGAGATGGATCTCCTATTGCCTGGGCTGGGTGGGATGGTGCTCACTGTGGCGTAGCATGAAAGACTCTGATCATCCATTATTATTTCAGGTCTCTCTCCAGAGGCCCCAACCATGGGGGAAGGGCAAGTCACAGGCATGAAGGAGACAGATGGGGAGCTGACAGCGGCCCCTACACCTGAGCAGCCAGATCGAGGTGTCCACTTCATCACAACGGCACCCACTTTGAAGCTGCTCAACCACCACCCACTGCTGGAGGAATTCCTTCAAGAGGGGTCAGAGAGGGCCATGGAGGAGCTAAGGCCAGCACTTCCCTTTCAACCTGACCCACCTACACCCTTCACTCCAAGCCCCCTTCCCCGCCTGGCCAACCAGGACAACCGCCCTGTGTTTACTAGCCCCACTCCAGCGATGGCTGCAGCACCCACACAGCCACAGTCCAGGGAGGGACCTTGGAGCATAGAGTCAGAGCCTTCTGGGCTGCATATCACTGCTCCCTTACCTCCAGGGCCCAGTATGGCATTGCCCACTCTGCGCTTAGGGGAGAGGCCTAATACTACACCTCCCAGCAGAACATGGACTCCAACCCAGGAGGGTCCTGGAGACATGGGCAGGCCATGGGCTCCAGAGGTCATGTCTCAGACCACAGGGCTTGGGATTGAGGGAACCATCGCCACCTCCACAGCCTCAGGGGACGACGAGGAGACCACTACCACCACCACCACCATCATTACCACCACCATCACCACAGTCCAGCCACCAGGTCAGCTACTTGCTGGCTGGCAGATCTGGAGGTGGGGCTGAGGGGAGTTATGGGGTCCCTAAATGCCTCTGTCTCTGACACTGTCAACCTACTCGGCTTTTTTTCACCAAAGGCCAGGCTAAAGGAGGCATAGAAATTGGAAACAGTCCCAGGTTCAAATCCTGATACTTCCAACTATAACATGTCCCTTGGAAACTTAAAACAGTAAAAAGAGTGCTAAGAAAGTCTGCCTCACTGAGCTATTTTGAGAAATGAGACAAGAGTGGTGCTCAGGATAAGGTGGTCCCCCTTTTTCAACAGGGGAGTAGGCAACCCTAGAGGCCCACCACACACACTGTGCGCACCAGAGCTGGGCTTTAGTCTTATGTCTCCTCCTGCCTCCCAGGCCCCTGTAGCTGGAATTTCTCAGGCCCAGAAGGCTCTCTGGACTCCCCCACACTGCCCAACTCACCCTCTGATGTCGGCCTGGACTGTTTCTACTACATCTCTGTCTACCCTGGCTACGGTGTGGAGATCAAGGTGAGTGACCTGGATACATCAAGGGGAAAAAGGCATCTGAATTAGTTTGTGCTCTCCCCAGAAAGGCACTTATTATAAAGGGATGTAGAGATACCTGGGAGTACTAGGGCACTAAGGGCCAGGAGTAGGAGATAGGAGGATAGCATGTCTAGATTCTGTCCTTATCAGGGCATGGAGAAGGCTATTGCCCATTCCTAGCAGTTCCTGAGAGGGCAGCAGGAAAACAAGTATGTCCACTTTTTTACCTAGGACTTTGATCAGGGAACTCAGGGGTGCCTGAAGAAAGGGTCTAGTCTTGAATAAGCTGGAGACTGGGTGAGCGTGAACTCTGAATCTATAAAGCTGAGTACAGAAAACACAGGGCAGCCTGGTTGGGCCTGAGAGCCATGAAGCCCCATTCACATTTTTATTCGCTCATTCAATCTCTTAGCAAATGCTTGCTGACCACACTGTTGGAGAAGTTCTCCCACCAGGTCATGCCTAAAATGGCCTCTTGGGCCATTTTATCTGTCCCTTGGGACTCTAGAGTCCCAGACTTGTGCCCAAAAGTCCCCATAGATGTCCCACAAGTTTTTCTATCCCCCACAAACCTAACTCTTCCTTTTTGTTACTCAAAACCTGCTCATTACTCTGTTCAGGTTAGAAACCTGGAGCAGGGTCACTACACCGCAGTGGTAGATAGCATGTAACATGGAAATACCATGGCCCTTCTCTGTCCCTCTTAAAGTCCCACACAGCTCATCCCCAAATTCTATCACCATGATGCGCCTCCAAACTCTTCATACACACCTGCTTCGCTTCCCTTCATCCCCATGACACCAACAGTCTAGACCCTACCATCTCTCCCTAGGAATTCAGGGGCCTCCTCTCTTATCACTCTATCTACCTACCTACATTGCAGATACTTTTTTCAGATTAAATTGCTCTCCCCCCCCCACACACATTTTCCTAAGAGGCCTCTGAATTGACAGGCATCACCTGTCATCTTAGCCGTTCTACTGGCTGTTTACAGCTGTTTATCTCCTGACTAGGCAGTGAACTCCTTGAGGGGTGCCTTGCAGTACTGGGCCCAGGATAGGTAAGGAGGAAGGCAGTGACATTGACTTGGGTCTTAGAGATTGACCCAGGTGGAGAGGATGACATTCCACTTAGCTATGGGTATCAGGCAGGGGATGGAGGGGCCATAAGAAGGGGCAGAGCAGAAGTCTGGAGATCATGACAACACTACCTGCTTCTCAGCCTGCTTTCCACCCATATCAACTCCTGCAAGCCCTGGATCTAAATCTGGGCCTGCAGCCAGCTGTACCCTTCTAGGGCAGTCAGGTCCAGGTTTCTGAGCCAGACCCAGGTGGGGTGGAGGGGGGCCGGGGAAGAAAGGGGGTGTCTCTCCTACTCGAGCCTGGCTTCCCCCTTTTTCTGTGACTGCTCCTGCTCTGCCAAGCCCTGGGCCCCCTCACTCTGGGCTGACTGGAAGGGCAATTAGGAACATCCACCCTCCCCCCTCCTCAAGCCATTAGCACTCAGCGCTGCTTAATTAAAGTAATTAATGTAAAATCATCACCTAATGAGAGGTGGCACCGGCTGTGGCTCACAGGGTGGAAGGTGCCAGTTGCAGGTGTGGGGAAGAGGGTGGGAGGGAGAAGATGCCCCTCTGCAGGCTTAGGCTTAGTCCACCTGCCCCCATCAAGCCTACCACCCCATTGAACCTACTGGGCCAGGCTGGGTCTAGCCTAGAAGCTCAATAGGGAGAGTACAGATAATAGAGCAAGATACATTGTTAGCTCTGCCTACCCCTGTCCTGGCCCTGACCCTGGTCCAGGCCCAAGTATACACCCTGGATGCCCACCCCCTCACCCAGCCCTGGGTCTGTTGTCTGGTGCTGCTACATTTTTTTTCCATCAGAATGCAAAAGCTGTTACCAGGCAACCTTGAGATGAAGACCTGCCATAGCCCTGAAATGCCATCAGGAAACATAGCAAATGCTGGCCCACCCTCCACCTCAGCACCATGGAGGCAGAGTCCTTAAGGACTCTGTTATCCTCAATGCACTGAATTAGAATAGAGGACATAGGGGCACAGGGTGGGCAGATCTGGGTCAGCATCTGCTTCAGGGGAGCAACAAGAGGCTAATCAGCCAGAATTGAAGCAGGGGTAAGGTTCTTCTCAGGGCTAGTTCTGGCAACCTCTACCCCACTCAGGCCTGCTAGCTATACCATACAAACCACTTAGGATACTGCAAACCAATACTTATAGATAGATGGGAGACTAAGTCCTAGGCAAGAAAAGGAAATTGTCTAAGATCATCAGTCATTATCTTTTTTTTGTTTGTTTTCTTGTTTTGTTATGTGGTTGGTTTGTATTGTCATGGGGCTTGAACGCGGGGCCTGGGTGCTATCCCTGAGCTTTTTTTAACTCAAGGCTAGTGCTCTACCACTTTGAGTCACAGCTCCTTTTCCATTTTCAGGTGGTTAATTAGAGGTAAGAGTCTCATGGCCTTTCCTGCCTGGGCTGTCTTTGAACCATGATCCTCAGATCTCAGCCTCCTGAGTAGCTAGGATTGTAGGCATGAGTCACCAACAACTAATGAAAGAGTGATTTTATTTCATAAACATAAGTTGAGCACTTACTACGTGCTGACCACTGGAGATCCAAACCTTCCTGGTTGTGGGAGACAGAAATCATAAGCAATGACCACAAAATACTCAATACTTGTAGGGATGGGGATAGGAAACTCAAGGTCTGTGGAAATTCCAGCCAGGAGTCAGGGAATGCTTCCTGAACATGAGGATACCTACTCTGAGGCCTGTATGATGAGAAATCAGAACTGTGATCCAAGAAAGTTGGCCTGCTTAAGCTGGGATTTGGGCATTGGACTAAACCCTTTCCTTCAGCCCTATGGCCCACATGAGTATTATCCCCATCAGTCTTCTCCTGAGAGTTCCAGACCTTTCTGGAGCTCTGGCCTGGAGACTGCCTCTCTCACTGTATTTGGCATTGCAAAACCCTTCCCACTGCTGGCCTCCATCTTGGCTTGGCTGTTCTTTGTACCATCTGGAGCCTGGGCACAGCTGCCTGCAGTCCTTGCCTCATGCCCAGGTGGCCCATTGGCACACATCTCTCGCAGGCCAGCCCAGCTGTCAGCTTGATGGCAGGAACACCATGCCCTGCTAAGCCAGGTCAGGACCAGACCTAATATTAGCACCAGGAGTGGGGAAGTGAGTCAGAGGGTAGAATTTCTGGGCAACTTCCTCTTTCCTGGCTCCAGAAAGACCCATCTCATGGGTGTGAGAAGGTCTGGCTCCATGGATTTAGAAGCCTGTTCTCATCCATAAAACAGACCTACCCCCCAGTTATTACAGATGAGTGCCAGTTCAGTAAGGTTTAGAGGCTGTCATGTCAGACTGGGGTTCAAGTCTTGGCTCTGCAGCCCAACTCTCAGTGACTAGAATAAGCCCCTGGCTTTCTCTGGGCCTCAGTTTCCTTCCCTGCCAAAAGTTCAACCAGATATATACATAACCCTTTCCCAGCTAGTCCCTCCGATTATGCTCCTCCTCTGGCTTCAGGAAGACTTTTCTGAGCTCTGGTATGCAGTGGTACCTCAGGTCCTTGACCCTTCTTCCTGGTAGTCAGGAGCCTAGAATTCTGCCAGAATACATATGAGGGTAGTGGCTAAGAGTCTTAAATAGCTGTGGATAGAATGTGGGGGTGGCACTCAGATGCTGTGGTTAGGTTTCGTACAGAGGCACCCTTGTACTCCTCTGCCTTGCTGGGTTGTACTAGTGTGAACTTGTGCAAAGACACCATTTTTGCCTGCCTGTGGGCGACACCACTGGGACATGCGCTGATGGCTGGACTGGCAGCTTCCATCAGACAAAGCTGATGACCTCAGTGTTAGCAGAAGGCAAAATAGCTGTGCTTTCTCCTTCACCTGTCTTCTGGTCTGCTAGCAGCATGGAAGTGCTGGACAGCCCAGGGTCCTATGGGAATTTTCCTCAGCTCCCTCTGCTTCTTCCTCTCCCTCCATGCCCCTCACCCTCTTGTCACTGGATAGGGTATGGGAAGACAACCCTCATGAGTAGTGCTGACATTTCAATCTGCCTCCCAGGCTCTTCAGACGCCTGCAAATTGCATCAAGACTTCATCTCCCCCCTTGTCCAACACCCAGGCCTGTCTGGCCCCTGTCAGCCTGGTCCTCAAACAAGTGACAAATTACATTCCAGCCACTGCAGCAGGCCTGCAAGTGGGTGCTTGAAATCCAGGGGACCAGCCTGTTCAGATAGCCTCTAACTGAAGACAGGGAGCTTTCTGGATAGGAGCTATATCCCAACTCTCACCCCTGAGGCTAGGCTGAGAGCCAGGCTACCTTGCAGAATCCATACCTCTCCCAGACCAGAGGAAACAAGAGGTCTCAACTCCCAGTTGCCAGGAGAGAGGTTAGCTTGTGGGAACTCAAATCCCAACGTCTTGAAAAGGCCAGGCCAAAATCTATCTCCTTGGTAAACCTGAGGCCTGGAGTCTGAGAATAAAGATGTCTAAAATAAAGATGTCTAAAAGTCTATTTCTGCAGCTGATACCTCAGGAGGCTAGAAGGGGAGGAAGCTGCCTTTGCCTCCAGCAAGGGAAAACTGCTTATTTCTTTTCCTTGTTGGCAGTACTAAGGATTGAACTCAGGGCCTCCTGATGGCTATGCGCTACCATTTGAGCCACACCCTGAGTCCTTTTGTTTTTAGTTTATTTTTCAGATAGGGCCTCAGTGCTTTTTGCAGCCTCAGAGCTCTCCCACTTTTGCTTCTGGAATAGTTGGGATCAGAGGCAAGATTCAGTTTCTTAATAGGTGTGTCCATTTTCAATTTCTGAGTCTCTGTTTATTTGAGGGGATTTACCACCCAACTCATAGAAATCTTGCCATATTGCAGGTGCTCTGTAAATGGGTAGTTGCTGCTCCAGCTGCAGCTGCTGCTGCTGCCTTCATCCTCCATCCTCTGATCCCAGCAAAGCAACAAGCCAGAGGTCAAGCTAGAAGTATATGAGGAACATGGAAGAAAATACTAAATTGATTTCTACATCTCTGCCTTTGCTCTAGTGATAATCTTCCTGCAGTGAATGTCCTTCCTTCCTCCTCCTCCTCCTCCTCCTCCTCCTAGCTTCTGTCTTCAAGGAGCTCTGAGATAGACCCACCTGCTCCATGTGCATTCCCTGAGCCTCCAAGCCCTTGGCTCCCCCCTCGAGGATTCCTGCCGCACACAGCACGCATCCAGTGCCACTTAAGGCAGAATTGTATGCTGCCTGGCATCTCTCGATAATTACAGATTCCACGTGTGTGAGTCTTGTTTGCCCAACTCTAGAATCACAGAATCTCCAAGTTTAAGGGACCTCATCCAGCCTCCGCCTGCTGCAGGGATTCCCTGAGGGATGTCCCCAGCAGATGGTCAGGCAGCCTCCACCCAAATGTGCCTGGGTGGGGAGCTCCTGGCAAAAATAAGGCACTTCTACTGTAGCATCCTGCCTTGATCCTTCTCTAAAGCTTTCTTCCCCCAGCCCCACCAGCTGTTTTCCTACCAGGCAAGGATAGGGACCTCTTTCTGCCCTCTCTCTAATCCCCGGGGCTCATCTATTCCCAGTAGCCACCTTCAGAGAAATGCTGAGCCTTGCACTACCTATCCCCTGGGCCCTGGTGGGCTCAGCATCCTGTGTTTCTCAGCTCACAGGGATCTGGTGAGGAGAGACAATCCCCACAGCCCACTCTCTCCTCACATCTATATCAGAACTGGCTTCTCAGTGAAAAGCAATGGGCAGATGGTAAGAGTCAAGACAGCAATAAAGGGAGGAGGAACCAGCAGGATCATTTGGGAGATAAGATTGGGAAGGGTTTGGTGACTCACTGGATGCTACTTAGCACCAGCCCAGGTGGTTAACCTTTGATGGCCCTCCACAGAACAACATGTTAGGAATTTTAGACTGTGGATATCAGTGCTTCCCGTTTGCTTGGAAATCTTATTAAAAGGCAGAATATGAGGTCAAGTGTGAAGGGCAATGGCTCATGCCTGTGATCCTAGTTACTTGGGAGGCAAGGATTAGGAGGATTGAGGTTTGAGGACAGTTCAACAATTACAACAGAAGCTGTGCAGCCGTGGTTCAGGCCTATAATCCTAGCTACTCAGGAAGCTGAGATCTGGGAATCGAATTTCAAAGCCAGCCCAGGCAGAAAAGTCTGTGAGACTCTTATCTCCAATTAATCACCAGAAAACCAGAAGTGGCGCTGTGGCTCAAGTGGTAGTGTGTTTGCCTTGAGCTGAAGAGTGCAGGGACAGCATTCAGGCCCATGACCATACAAGGCCTATGACTGACAAAAAAAAAACAAAAAAACAGTTACAACAAAAATACAAATAGGAGGATCACCAGCCAAGGCAAAAATGAGAGACCCTACTCTTTTAAATATACTAACACAAAAAAGGCTGGGGTAGCTCAAGTAGTAGAGTGTCTGTTTAGCAATCATGAGGCTCTAAGTCAAAAATCCTAGTGCCCTATCTCTCCCTTCTCTTCAATATTCAGAGTGTGAGTTAGTGTATCTGAGGTTCTTCCTTCTTTACAACCTCCCAGGTAATGTTGCTTCTGTTGCTGGCTCAGTGACCACATTTTGAGTAGAAAAGATCCACCAGGCATAGTGCCACATTTCTGTAATCTCAGCTCTCAGGAGGCCATGGCAAGCAAGCCATAAATTCAAAGCTGGTGTGAGATACATAGTAAGATCCTGTCTCAAACACAGAAAAATTTGAATAGCAAAGTAGAAGGAGCACTCTTAGAAGGAGATCTGAGATCTCACTCTGACTGTGATCCTGGACAAGTACTTAAATTTTATTTGAGGTTCAGGGTTTGTTTGTTTGTTTTAATAAAGCAGCTTCCTACTACCATGCCACAACAGCCACTTCCCCTCTGGGCAGCCCTTGTGTGACTGTATGAAGTTTTGGTACCCAGAAGTATGCTCGCTCTACAGTCTGAAAGCCTAAAGATCAGGGTTGTGGCCTGTGATCAGAGCAAGAGGCCCAAAGAAGAGAGAGAACAGAATGTTGACTGGCATACAGGGAACATAATACAAGATCAAACCGAGTGGTCTGCCTGGGCCAAGTTGGGCATGGCCTAGAGGACCAAACAAAGAATTTAGATTAGTACTCTGGGCTTCATAGACTCATGAAGAAACATTGGAGGATTTAAACAGGGAAGCACTATGATGAGTGACAGGTCTGGGACTATTAACTGACTGCAGTTCAGAAAATATTGATGTGGAGGGAGGAGTGAGTTAAGCCCTCCAGACAGGGAGGCTGGCCAGGCAGCTGCAGTGATCTAGGTGAGCAATAATATCTAGCCAAATGGGGATGAAGTCCAGTGCACACATTTGAAGTCTGTCTGACAGTCTGAATGAGTGGTTGGACATGGGGCATGAAAGAAGAGGCAAGATACCAGTTTCTGACTGGGCACTCGGGTAGCTAGCAAGCTGATTCCTTAAGATGGGAGCCAGGGAAGCTGCTGGCTGGGGGCAGGGGTGGCTCAGTATGACATAGGCGGATTGTGAGGATCATCCAACAGGGATGTTCAGGGGAAGCTGGGCACAAGTATCTTAGGCTTAGGACAACACACTACTGACAGGCCCTCAGACACCATCTGACCTAATCCACCCACCCATCCCTACTTTGAAAACTCAGCCCAAAGAGGGAAAAGAGAAAGCAGCTAGTGCACTTGAAAAGCTTTGTAAACAGGCCAACATATTTACAAATCCCAGTTCTACCCATAATCTCTATGCAACCTTGAATAATGGCCTTAATACCTCTGACCCATCTCATAGTTATTGACTAGATAAGATGAGTACTTCCTGCACTGGAGTGCCTAATGCAGTGCTCAAGGGTCATAGCAGTCCAGGCACCAGTGGCTCACACCTATAATCCTAGCTACTTAGAAGGCTGAGGATCACAGTTCAAAGCCAGCCCAGGCAGGAAAGTCCATGGGATTCTTATCTTCAATAAACCACTAGAAAACCAGAAATGGTGCTGTGGCTCAAGTGGTAGAGCACTAGCCTTGAGCTAAAGAGCTGAGGGACAGTTCCCAGGCCCAGAGTTCAAGCTCCACAACCAAAAAAAAAAGAGTCATAGCATGTGGCCAAGTAGAGCCTGAAGGAAGCAGGACTCAGACAGCAGGAAGAAGTTTGCACCAGGTGCTTATGGCTAATGCCTATAATCCCAACTACTCAAGAGGCTAAGATCTGAGACCAACCTCAGCAGGAAAGTTTGTGAGACCCTTATCTCCAATTACCCACCAAAAAAAGCCAGAGTAGAGGTGTAGCTCAAGGAGTAGAGCAGTGCTCAAGCCCTGAGTTTAAGCTCTAGTACCAGCACAGATGGAAGAAAGGAAGGAAGGAAGAAAGGAAGGAAGAAGAGAGGGAGGGAGGGAGGGAGGGAAGGAAGGAGGGAGGGAGGGAGGGAGGGAGAAGTTTGATTACTATGCTCTGCTTGCTCCAATCTATCTGCAGGTCCAGAATATCAGCCTTCAGGAGGGGGAGACCATAACAGTGGAGGGCCTGGGGGGGCCTGACCCATTGCCCCTGGCCAACCAGTCTTTCTTACTGCGAGGCCAAGTCATCCGCAGCCCCACTCACCAAGCAGCCCTGAGGTTCCAGAGCCTCCCACCACCTGCTGGGCCTGGCACCTTCCATTTCCACTACCAAGGTAAGGTCTGGGCAGTTGAGAAAAGAACCAGCCCAGGCTAGATGACCTCCTGGGAGTCTTTGTGCTATTAAAACTGGGGGACGGAGGAGGGGGTCAAAAGGGTTTGACAACAGTCACATGGAAGTCTTCAGCCATGGCCTTCTTCACCCATCTGCCCCACGCCCTGTCAGCTCAAAACACCACTAGATAGAGGGGCTTGGATAATGAAGGCAATGTAGGCAAATCACACTCAAGAGATAGGTATGTTTGTATTTGAATCTCCTTCTCATTAGCTGTTGGCCTTTCACCTTTCTGACTTTCCTTTTCCTCCTATAAGATGAGTCTAAAAGGGCTGGGAAGGTGGCTCAATGGTAGAGTGCTTGCCTCGCATGCATGAGGCCCTGGGTTTGATTCCTCAGCACCACATAAGCTGAAAAAGCCGGAAGTGGTGCTGTGGCTCAAGTAGTAGAGTGCTCTTGACTTGAAGAGCTGAGGGACAGCGCCCAGGCCCAGAGTTCAAGCCCCACAACCGACAAAAAAAAAAAAAAAAAAAGAATGAAAGAAAAGATGAGATTAAAATAATTACCCCACAAAGTTATGATTAGGATTGAACAAAATGTGCATCTCAAGTGCTTAGCACATGCTCTGTTAAGGAAAACAGAATTACAGGGTTTGCTAGGTGGGGAAGGTAAGAAAAGAGACTTAGGGATCTGAAAATCCCTCATCCATGTCCCCCTTGCCCATTCCCCTCTCTAGGAATGAAGTCAGCTTGGTTGTTTGAACTGGTTAACTGGTTCAAACACTAATAGGGAGATAATTGGTGTGAACAATCAAGACATTGTCTTGTACTGACATGGACAACTTCTGCAGCCCTCAGGGGTGAGGGGACAGCAGGGTAGGCAGGCTCTGAACCATACCTATTAAGTGTTTGTCCTGTTCTGGATTCTCCGGGGTGGCCAGGAGGAGCCTGGTAGTGGGGCTGTACTGAGTTTGTACCAGAGCTCAGCAGAAACAAGGGCTAGCTGAGGCAGGGGTGAGCAACTAGGCAATTCTGCCAGCTTTTCTAATGGCTCATCAATCCTCCGGGCAGCCAGCATAATTTCACGCCACCTTAACCTTTTCTCTTGCTGCAAATTCCTCTGCACAAAATTCCAGACCCCCCACTCTGTGGGGCCAGACAAAAGTGGCTGCATGGCAGAGAGTTGGAGGCTGAGCTAGGGGAAGCAGACTCCGACCCCCTCAGGAAAGACTTAGGAGAGTTAGCCTAGTCCTGCTCCCTTTTTGACTCCCAGAAGCCCTCCCTCCTCCGCCCAGTTTTTGTCAATGATCAGCTCTTTCCTTAATGAGTGTAATTCCCCTAATTATAGGCTGTAATTAGCCCTGATCCCAGAGATGGGAACAGGAGGAGCGTGTGCTCACACGCACATCTCGTGGGCTAGAGAAAGAGGATGCCAAGAGAAAGGGTGAAGGGCCTTGTGCTGGAGCTGTCCAAGCTAATGTTGGAGGTCACAAGAACCTCAAGACATACCAAATTCTAACTTCCCTCCCCCAGCCTCTATCAAGATGGGGAGGCAGAAAGTCTACACAGGCACCCCTCCTCCATCCTGAGCATTTCTGGCACAGGACCTGACTCCAGAAATGAATGCCAGTAAGAAAATAACTCAACAGATTGTGGTACAGGCTTCCTGGGAACAGTTGTCATGGCAACAAGAGGAAGCTCATCTTAGGAAGTGGCTCTTTACCCATTATGAAGTTTGGCAGTTTCACCCAGTGTTGCTGCCTTAACCTCATCCTTATCTGTGAAAATGGGGGCCCTCTGTTCCCAAGCTTTGATTCAACTTGAAGGAAAGACAGAAGCACAGCTGAACTTGACATGTGGCTTATGACCAGGACCTTCCAAAGGGTTAGACCTTCTAACCTCCTATCTGGGTACAATGACCTGTGAGGACTTGTCTCTGTAAACGACTTGTCTCTGACTCTTAAGGTTTTTCTGGTTCCTGAACCCAGCTTTCTACTTTACCTGACAAAGAAGAGGGGGACAGGAAGGAGGTGGGCTCTAGAGACAAAGCCACTTCCTTACAGTGTGATGAGGGTACACAGGCTCTCTGAACTTCAGTCTTTTCAAAGTTGAGTTTTCCTTATCTGAAAATGGATTAATAACCCCTACTTTGCTTCCTTCCTCCCAAGCATATTGTAAATATCAAGTAAGAAAAGTATGAGGGGCTGGGAAGGTGGCTCAGTGGTAGAGTGCTTGCCTCATATGCATGAGGCCCTAGGTTCAGTTCCTCAGCACCACATAAACAGAAAATGCTGGAAGTGGTGCTGTGGCTCAAGTGGTAGAGTGCTAGCCTTGAGCTGAAGAGCTGAGGGATACCCAGGCCCAGAATTCAAGTCCCACGACTGACCAAAAAAAAAAAAGATTACAAATAGAGCTGAGGCCTATAATCCTATTCAGGAAGCTGAGATCTGAGGATCATTATGCAAAACCAGCCAGGGCAGAAAAGTCTGCAAAACTGTCTCTAATTAACCAGCAAAAAAGCTGGACTAAAGGTGTAGCTCCATCGTCGAATGCCAGTCAGAAATGGAAAAAGCCATACTAGCGTGTGAGGCCTTGAATTCAAGCCTGGCAAGTAAAAAATTACAAATGGGGGGCTGGGAAGGTGGCTCAGTGGTTGAGCGCTTGCTTTGCAAGCCTGCGGCCCTGGGTTCGATTCCTCAGCACCACATAAGCAAAAAGAAAAAAGCCGAAAGTGGCGCTGTGGCTCAAGTGGTAGAGCACTAGCCTTGAGCTGAAGAGCTGAGGGACAGCGCCCAGGCCCAGAGTTCAGGCCCCACAACCGGACCCAAAAAAAAAAAAATTACAAATGGTAGCAGCAGGCTGAGGTGTTAGATGTGTGTTTTGTGACAGTCACTTCACATCTACCCACTCAAGCTCTACAGTGCTGGATCCAGCATTCAAAATGGGTGGCTAAACAAGGAAACTGAGGCACAAGCAATGGAGGTAACAGTGATAGGGGGCCCATACTCAAACCTAGCCAGCTTCAACCCAAAGCCTAGCTCCTAAGCATTGTCTTTGCCACCTGCTAATCACAACTAGTCTGTTCTTGACTATCTTCCCCAAGACATATGAAAACAGGCATTGTAACTGAGGTCAGGACAGGTAAAAGTCCCAAAACTGAGACAACTGAAGCTTCTAGCCCCCATCAGTCCAGAGGCAGCCCTTTTTTCTATTCATACAAAGGCATACCCGGGCATAAAACAAGCTTTCTCTCAGTTCCTCTTCCTTTTATTTCTTTTTCTCTATAGATCCAAGCCAGAATCCCCATTTTTAGCTACTACCCTAGCTTGTCCCTATGGTTGCCAGGATGTTTCATAGGATTTGCTGCCATCATGTGGCTATACATGGAATGATAATGCTAAACTACCAGGTTACCCCAGGCAACTAGTTCCACCCCCAGCTTCCCTGAAGGCACTCTCTGCCTTGTTACCCTCACCCCCACCTTGTCCTTAAAAAAATTCAGCACCATTGCCATGAATCTTTTTAACACTTCTCAATACTACAAAGTCTTTACTGACGTCAGACTTTCCTGCTGTGATTCATATTTCTCTCCTACAGAAAAAAAATCAATATTTTATATTAGGCCTCTTCACTATTTTAAGTTCTTTCACATCTACAAGTCACTTCGAAAATGAGTGTGTGTGTGGGGGGTGTTGTTGGGGATTAAACTCGGAGCCTCAGGAATATTACACAAATACTCTGCCACTGAACTGCACTCCCAACCCCCCTTAAACACTTCTTGAAGATATATTAACAGCTGGGTGCCAGGGAAGCCAAGCTAAGTAAAATATTATCCTGTTTAGCTTCATAATAACCCAATAAGTGGGCTAGTGTTGTTGTGCTTGGGGTTTTGTTTTTTTGTTTTTATTTTTGTTTTGCCAGTCTTGGCGCTTGAACTCAGGGACTTGGCACTGTCCCTGAGCTTCTTTTGCTCAAGGCTAGCACTCTACCACTTGAGCTATAGCACCACTTCTGGTTTTTTTCTGTTTATGTGGTGCTGAGGAATCAAACCCAGAGCTTCATGCATGCTGGGCAAGCATTCTACCACTAAGCCACCTTCCCAACCCTGGACTAGTGTTTTGAACTTCACTTAACAAATTAAAAAATAAAAAAATAGAAAAGTTAATAATCTGCCTAAAATGTCACCAAGGTTGGACCAGAACCCAAGCTTCCTACCTTCCAGCTTTATGTTATTCTGCTATCCATCCCAGAGTGCTAGAAATATCATTATCATCTAATAGGAAAGGGACAAGGGTATTTTCTGAAATTCCTGATACTTCTTATGGGCCCAAGTGACACCTTGTCAGGATGGGACAGACTGACACAGGCCTTCATCCTTGCCATAAGCTCATCCTACACACACACATACACGCGCACAAGCGCGCGCGCGCGCACACACACACACACATACAAAATAACAAAATATCACCTGTTCTCTCTTTGCAGCCTATCTCCTGGCACAGGCCTTCACCCTCACCATAAGCTCGTCCTACACACACACACACACACACACACACACACTATCACTTGTTTTGTCTTTGCAGCCTATCTCCTGAGATGCCACTTTCCTCGACGTCCAGCTTATGGAGATGTGACGGTCACCAGCCTCCACCCAGGAGGCAGTGCACGTTTCCACTGTGCTACTGGCTACCAGCTGAAAGGTGCTAGGCATCTTACCTGTCTCAATGCCACCCAGCCCTTCTGGGATTTCCAGGAGCCTGTGTGCATTGGTGAGTGATCCCGGGCGGGGGAAAGGGCTCAGTGCTGAGCACAGGAGCAAGATGGGGGTTCATCTCGTTGTTGAACACTTCCTTCTACAAGGAAGCCAGAAAAGGTCCCATCCTTCCCTCACTTACTTAGCATTCACCGTATAGAGGAACCATACAGGGCCTTAAATACAAACTGCCCTCAGAGCCCACAGTTGCTAAAAAGGAGAGAAGGAGGGACCTAGGGTCAGGGTCACTGATTTTCAGAAATAAAAGGTACCAATGAAGAAACACTAGTGGGAATCAATCATTCCTAGTTGGCTATTGAAGAGGTTTCCTATGGGGAGGTGGCACTGAAAGGTTTGACATTTGGATAGAGGAACAATGTGGGTAGTAACATAGGGTTCAGAAGGAGAGGGTGTTTAGAGACAGAGAGAACAGCCAGATAGAAAGTGTAGTAGAGGGCTGGAAAGGTGGCTCAGTGGTAGAGCACTTGCCTTGCATGCTCAAGGCCCTGGGTTCGATTCCTCAGCACCACATAAGCAAAAAGAAAAAAGCCGGAAGTGGCACTGTAGCTCAAGTGGTAGAGCACTAGCCTTGAGCTGAAGAGCTGAGGGACAGCGCCCAGGCCCAGAGTTCAGGCCCCACAACCGGACCCAAAAAAAAAAGAAAGTGTAGTAGAAAGGGCCTTGATTGCCAGGCCAGATACTAGGTGAGGAGAGGCTGAAGTTTTTGAGAAAAGGGGGAGAAGCTCAGAGCTATTCTTTTGGGGATCCACCTGAGTGGCTGTTGGAAGTCTGAAAGGACAGCCAGGTAAGAGGATTTGAATTTGGACAGTGACATTGAGAATGTAAACAAGGGAAATTGCAGAGATATTGATGAGGGAATTAGAAAAAGTGAAAAGGAACCTCCAGGCTCTGGTCTGGTGCCACTGATCTGATGATCAGGAGTCTAGGATTGTTGCCAACAGCATGGGAGAAGAAAGATAGAGTATGAGGTCTGCAATATGACAAGCAACTTAGGCTGTGTGTGTGTGTGTGTGTGTGTGTGTGTGTGTGTGTGTGTGTGTGTGTGTGTGTGTGTGTGTGTGTGTGTGTGTGTGTGTGTGTGTGTGCTGGTAATGGGGATTGAATTCAGGGCCTGGGTCTGAATTTGAGCTTTTTTGCTTAATGCTGGTACTCTACAACCTAAACCATAGCTCCACTTCCAGCATTTTGGTGGTTAATTGATGATAAGGATCCTTCAGACTTTCTTGCCTGGACTGACTTTAAACCCCAATCCTCAGATCTCAGCCTCTTGAGTAGCTAGGATTACAGGTGTGAGCCACTGACACCCAGCTAAAACTGTTTTAGTTTTAGGAGGGGAAGAGGCTTGAGCTCTTGAACCTTAGTTCACTCTATAAAGTCTTGCTATTGCAAAAATAAGGCAGACATGTTCTCTGCCCTTGAGGAGTTCTATCTAGTGAGCAGACTGCTCAGCAGCAAAATATGGACAATGCTGTGATACAGGTGGTGCTGTGATACAGGTGGTGCTGTGATACAGGTGGCTTCCAATGTGACAGGAAGTGAGGGAGAACAGCTCCAAAGTGAGAGAGGAGGCAAGGAAGGCTTCCTGGGGAGGGAGTATGGAAAGTTTCCAGAAATGCTAGTGTGAAAATGTAGGGTGGATTTCTAGAACAGCATATGCGAAGGCCTGGAGACCTAAACTGCAGGATACTATGAGGACATTGTGAGGTGTGACCAAAGAGGAGAGTGTGTAGGGAGGGGAGACGGAACCTGAGTGGAGAGAGTTCAATTGACAAAAGGCCTGAATGCCATTTTGTGTTTTGTTTGTTTGTTTTGTCAGTTTGGGTGGGTTTTTTTTTTTTACCCATTTTCCTCTGATTCTGTGCCCTCCTCCTAACTTCCCTCTTATGTGCATATGTATATACCATAGGTGGAGTCAAGAACCTAGAGTCATCTAAAAATGATGTGACAAATTAAGCAGAAGTCCTTTGTTTCTTGAGTCCTGTTTACTTTGTCATATCTTGTTTTCTTTGAATTTAACCTCCACAAATCAGGGAGAGTATGTGCTGTTTGTCTCTCTGATCTTGGCTTATTTCACCCGACATAATTTGTTCTAGTTTCATCCATTTCCCTGCGAATGCCATTATTATATCCATTCTAATGGTTGTGTAATATTCCATTGTATATAGGTACCACAATTTTTTGATCCATTCATCTGTATTGGGGTGTCTGGTTTGTTTCCTTATCTTGTTGAATGCCATTTTGAACTGAACTCAACAGAGAACCACTGAAAATGTTTTTCCCTTTTGTTATTAGTGCATATTAATTGTACAAAATGGATCCATTGGGATAGGTACACGCATGTAATACATTACATGACTTTAAGCCAATACTGGAACACAATTAGATTTGAAGGGAAGTTTCATGTTGAGACCAAGTAAAAAGATAGGCCTCTCTTTAGAGAGGCCAAGAAAAGATTCACCCAGGCCCCAATACTTTTATGAACTTAGAATATTTTGCTAGAGTACTTGGAAGCAATGGTACTGTGTAGGGCCATGGTAGCCTAGTCTTTGAGAGTATTTAGGAGGGGAAAGCACTTACTGGAGCTGGCCACCTTCCCCTACTCAGACTCCTTCTCTGCTCCACTCACTTATCAGTAGCTTGTGGCCAAGTAAATGAGCAACCCTCACTGCTGGGCCTAGAGAAGCCACTCAGCTCTCTTTTGAAAGAGAACAAACCTTTGACAGAGCAGTCAGCCTAGAAATGACATTGTAATGATACCTAAAGAGCTCCTGTAAACACACACACACACACACACACACACACACACCTATATGAGGCCATTTCTGCCCTATGCTAAGAACATAGGGTTTGAGGTGGATGGCAGGCATATTAGGTACTGCTAATTCCTACTCTAGTCCTGCCTTTTCTATATTCATTCACTCATTCCCATTCATCTCCCATTGAATACCAACTCTGCCTGACCTGAACAGACCTAGATCCCAGGGGATCCTAGTTAAGAGATAAACCCAAACAAATAACTAGTTAGTTTCTTTTGCTTGTTTGTTTACTTATTTTTGAGATGCTAGAGATTAAACCCAAGGACTTGTTTTGCTAGGTAAGTTAGGTGACTGGTTTTAGAAAAGTAGTATGAAGCCAGGTGCCAGCGGCTCATGCCTGTAATCCTAGCTACTCAGGAGGCTGAGGTCTGAGGATTGCAGTTCAAAGCCAGCCCAGGCAGGAAAGTCTATGAAACTCTTATCTCCAATAAAACCACAAGAAAACCAGAAGTGGCACTGTAGCTCAAGTGGTAGAGCACTAGCCTTGAGCTGAAGAGCTAAGGGACAGTGTTCAGGCCCAGAGTTCAAGCCCCATGACCAACCAAAAAAAAAAGAAAGAAAAGTAGCATGAGGCCAGGCATAGTGGTACAATGCCTTTGATACCAATACTTTAAAAGCTGAGGCAATACTATAAGTTCTAGCATATCCTGGGCTAAATAGCCAGACCTTGTTTCAGGAAGAAAAAAAAAGGGAGGAGGAAAGGAAGGAGGGAGGGAGAGTGAAAAAGGAAAAAGATGGGAAAGAAGGAAGGAAGAGAAGGAGGGGATGGAAGGAAGGAGCAAGGGGAAAGAAAAGCAAGAAAGAAGGAAAAAATGAGGCACAGGTAGCATATGTAATTCAAGGTCAGAGCCCAGAGTAAGAGGTATAACAATACAGTTCTCCCTGGCGGGGGGTGGCAGGGGGGGGGATGGGGAGGCCATGTCAAAGAAGCCCTCCTAAAGGAGTCAGCAGAGAGGGAAGGTGGCTTATCCAGGGTTACACAGCCAGCTAGTAGCTATTTATAGATAAGAAAGTTGCATGCACATGAATAATCTCAGCGATGTGGACAGTTAGGAGGTAGGACTCTGATGTCCAGGCTGTCTGGAGCTGCAAGGGTCATAAGGCTAAAAGACTGGACTTCAGGCCATGAGATGACTGGGATGAGAAAGAAGGCTTGTAAGACTGCATAGGATACAGTCAGGTCCAGTCTAAGTCCATCATTGTCTCACAGCTGCCTGTGGAGGAGTGATCCGAAATGCCACCACCGGCCGTATTGTCTCTCCGGGCTTTCCGGGAAACTACAGCAATAACCTCACCTGCCACTGGCTGCTTGAGGCTCCAGAGAGTCAGCGGCTGCACCTGCATTTTGAGAAGGTCTCCCTGGCAGAGGATGATGACAGGTGAGGGGCTGTCATGGTAGGATGGAAGGGTAATACCCTGAAGAAGGGATGTTCCCTAAGCCTGGAACCATACCCATCTGAGTCAGCGATCAGCCACATAACTGCTACTCTCCCGGCCCAGACTCATCATTCGCAATGGGGATAACGTGGAGGCCCCACCTGTGTACGATTCCTATGAGGTGGAATACCTGCCCATCGAGGGCCTTCTCAGCTCTGGAAGACACTTCTTTGTGGAACTCAGTACTGATAGCAGTGGGGCAGCTGCAGGGATGGCCTTGCGTTATGAGGGTAAGCCTGCTGAGCCCTAGGTTCTTTCTCCCATGCCCTCTCCATCTCTGCCTCCATTCTGTCACTCCTTCCTTCCCCTCTGTCTGGTGCAGGACTCCTACCCTGTCTTTACAATAGCCCCTGATCTGGATTCAGGCCCTTTGGCCTAAGAGAATGAGTTTTCTAGGTTTTTTGCTTTTGTGTTGGTACTGGGACTTAAACTCAGGGCCTGAGCCCAGTCCCTTATCTTTTTTGCTGAAAGCTAGTGCTGTAGCTTAGGCAGAAGTTTGGGGTGAACCTTTCCGTCTGGGCTGGCTTTGAACTAGGATCTTCAGATCTCAGCCTCTTGAGTAGTTAAGATTACAGGTGTGAGCCACCAGCACCCAGCAAATTCTCCAGGTTTTATAAAGCAAAATAGATCCTAACACTTGGAGGAGCACTGCTACAAGAGATACTTTACCCAAGCATTAATACGTGACAAAAATTGAGTGCTTCCTGTGTATTAAACCTAAAACTAGGCAATGCAATACAATGGTGATCAAGACAGCTTCCTGAGCATAACAGGGTTGGATGTCCTGTCCCCTGTCTTCTACTCCAGCCCAGGACACATATTTACACTGAGGAAGAAAGGCCATGGGGAGGGAAGCAGGAGGATGCTTGCCCTCTGAGCCTACCCCAGTCAAGGCTGAGCTGGGCTGGCCCCTGTGGTTTACAGCCTTCCAGCAGGGCCACTGTTATGAGCCCTTTGTCAAATACGGCAACTTCAGCAGCAGCGCACCCTCCTACCCTGTGGGTACCACTGTGGAGTTTAGCTGTGACCCTGGCTACACTCTGGAGCAGGGTTCCATCATCATCGAGTGTGTTGACCCCCACGACCCCCAGTGGAATGAAACAGAACCAGCCTGCAGAGGTCAGTAGGCATGAGTGGGTAAGTCTGCAAGGGGCAATGAGAAGGGTGGCTACTGGGGAGCCAGCCATAAAATCTGGGGCCACAATGTTACCCTGTGACATGTGTGATTCATTTCCCCCATCCCTGGAGGAAATGGGGAATCCCATCAATGAGCAGGCCCTCCTGCAGGTAGGTGGCAGGCCTAGGATATGGTACTGGGGGGAACATTGAGGGGACATACTTCTGAGGTCTTCCATGCCTTCCAGCTGTATGCAGTGGAGAAATCACAGATTCAGCCGGTGTGGTGCTCTCCCCCAACTGGCCAGAGCCCTACGGCCGTGGGCAGGACTGCATATGGGGTGTACATGTGGAAGAGGATAAGCGTATCATGCTGGATGTTCGAGTGTGAGTGTCTGGGTCAGGCAAACCAACTCCTGAGGTTGGGGGACATCTCTTGTCCAGGTCAGCCTGGGATCCCCAGGGCTACCCTTCCCTGACCATCCTGCCCCACAGGCTCCGCATAGGCCCTGGTGATGTACTGACCTTCTATGACGGGGATGACTTGACAGCCAGGGTGCTGGGCCAATACTCAGGGCCCCGTAGCCACTTCAAGCTCTTTACCTCCATGGCTGATGTCACCATTCAGTTCCAGTCGGATCCTGGGACCTCAGTGCTGGGCTACCAGCAGGGATTTGTCATCCACTTCTTTGGTAAGCGTGTCCCTGCCTCACTCAGAAGGCAGACCCTAAGTCAGGTCAAAAAGGCCACAGTAACAAGAAGTATGAGTACTCTTTCTGACAAAGGAAAGCTAGAAAAATACCAGGTATCACCAGAGAAAGGGATCCTTCTGTTGCAGCAGAAGGGGTCCAGAGAGGCACAGAAAGAACTACCTAACAAAAACAGGGAACTAAGGAAAGGTATTGGTTTCTACTTTTCTGTTAATTTGGAATAGAAGTGATAATTTCCATCACTACTTGACCCCATTTCTCAGGTCTTAGGAACTGGCCAAGGTGCTTTTGTAAGTAAGACCAAAGCCAAGATGATAACCCTGGAATCTTGGAAACCAAGCCATGTCAGGGACAGGCAAGGACAAGGGCCGTTCTGCAGGGAGGGATGAATCACTGGGCCTGCCCAGGCCAGTCTAGGCCCAGGACAAATCGACAGGAACTAGAGTGCCCTCAGGGAAGGGGGATAGCAGTCAGTTTGGTGTTGGCTGAAGGATTACATTGTGCTGCCTCTGTGCCCCCAGAGGTGCCCCGCAATGACACATGTCCAGAGCTGCCTGAGATCCCCAATGGATGGAAGAGCCCATCACAGCCTGAACTGGTACATGGCACAGTGGTCACTTACCAGTGCTATCCTGGCTACCAGGTGGTAGGATCCAGTGTTCTCATGTGCCAGTGGGACCTAAGCTGGAGTGAGGACCTGCCCTCATGCCAGAGGGGTGAGTGTATGTACCTGATCCCATGTTCCCTGCCCAACACAACCTCCAAGTTCCTTTCTTGGGTTCTGAGAAAGAATCTAATATCTGTCCTCACTGTTAGCTGGTAACCTTGACATTCTTTTACCTTTTATAACCTCAGTTTCCTTATCTGTGAAATGGAGACCAATACCTATCCTAGGGTTATGTATTACAAGTATTTCTTTCCTGTCTGTTAGCCAATCAGTGCTTTGTTGACAGAGATGAACAGGAAGAGGACAAATGAGTTTATTGACTCCAACGAACACAAGGAGAGACATCAGAAAAATGATAGAGATAGCCAGGCATGGTGAGACATGCCTGTAATGCCAGCATTAGGGAGGCTGAGGCAGGAGGATCAGAAGTTTGAGGACAGACTGGGCTACATAGCAAGACCTTGTCTCGAAGGAAAAAAAAAAAAAAAAAAGTGTTTGGTGGCAAAACACTTACCTGGCATTCATGAAACCCTAGGTTTGATCCCCTGTACAGCCAGGGGAGCGGGGGGGGAAATAGAAGCATTTAAGTGGTGGTAGGAGCCATATAATAGGAAGATCTTAGCCAGCTTTGAACAAAGCCAATGTGGAGTGGCCTTTGTTGAGTCTTCCTTTGACTACTTCTATCATCCTCCATCCATAGTGACTTCCTGCCGTGATCCAGGGGATGTGGAACACAGCCGACGCCTCATATCCAGCCCCAAGTTTCCTGTGGGGGCCACCGTGCAGTATATTTGTGACCAGGGTTTTGTGCTGACGGGCAGTGCCATTCTCACTTGCCATGACCGCCAGGCTGGCAGCCCCAAGTGGAGTGACCGGGCCCCTAAATGTCTCTGTAAGTTTCAGATGGGTAGGAGAGTCTGCGTTAGAGAAAAGATGCTACCTCTGAAGGCAAGGGGTCCAGTGGCCTTACTATGCTCTGCCTACTTTGCAGTGGAACAGCTCAAGCCATGCCATGGCCTCAGTGCTCCTGAGAATGGTGCCCGAAGTCCCGAGAAGCGGCTCCACCCAGCAGGGGCCACTATCCACTTCTCATGTGCCCCTGGCTATGTACTTAAGGGCCAGGCCAGCATCAAGTGTATCCCTGGGCACCCCTCACACTGGAGTGACCCCCCACCCATCTGTAGGGCTGGTGAGTGTCCTGCTACCCTTCTAAAGCCCTACCTGGCAAGGCTTCCCAACACTGAGATCCAGAACTACCTGCCCATGCCCCCTTCATGTTACTCTTGGTCTCCCCAGTCTCTGCCAGATCCTTCTGACCTGGTATCATCAAGACATGCTGAAGTAGGCTCTTTGGACAAATCCTCCCCATGATCATCCCATTACCTCTGCTTCTTGCATTAGTGGCTTGGCCCATTGGGCTCACCCACTGCCCTTGGCCCCTCCCCTCTTGTTCCAGCCTCTCTGGATGGGTTCTACAGCGGCCGTAGCCTGGATGGTGAGTCCCCAAAACTGAGAGGCAGGGAAGTGGTCTCCCTGCATCTGGTTCTTACAACCCTAAGCCATGGGTTCCCAAAGACAAGATGTAGAGAAAGAGTATTCTGGGCCTAGCAGGGCATAAAGCTTCTTCCATATCTCCAACCATCTAGATGGAGCTGATATCTGACTGGCCTTGGGCAGAGGTGAGGGAAATGGGATCCAGTAACAGGGATCTCTGCTCCAGTCTCACCCTCTACTTTCAGTTGCCAAGGCACCTGCTGCCTCCAGCACCCTGGATGCTGCTCACATTGCAGCTGCTATCTTCTTGCCACTAGTGGCAATGATGTTGTTGGTGGGAGGTGTGTACCTCTACTTCTCCAGGTGAGTCTGCCTTCTCTTCTCATACATCACTCACTCCTGCCCTGCATTCCCAACTCACAAGCTTCTTTACCCCACAGGCTCCAAGGGAAAAGTCCCCTGCAGCTGCCCCGAACACGTCCTCGTCCCTACAACCGCATCACCGTGGAGTCAGCATTTGATAATCCCACTTATGAAACTGGAGTAAGTACCTATGCCAGCCTAGACTCCTCCCCAGGACTCAATCCTCTACTCCCTTGGGTAGATAACCCAGAGTCCTGCGAAGCCCTCTTTCTTCTCCTTGGGAAGTTGTTATTATGGTCTAACAAACATTATACAAGTTTCCAACTCCCAGAAGTCTCTTTCCTTTGCAGGAGACGAGAGAATATGAAGTCTCCATCTAGGTGAGGGCAGCCCAGCCTGGGGATCCTCAGCCCTGCACAGCAAGGCTCCCCGCTTCCTGCTGTCCCTCCACCTCCTGTACATACCACCTGGGAAGATGCCACCAATCCCTCAAGAACTTGTGCACCTCCCTGCCTGCAATGCCCACCATGGCCTATTTTCTTGGCACCCACTTAAGACACTTCCTTGGGCTCAAGTCAAGAAGCTCCTGACTCTGAGGAGAACACAGCTAGACCACATCACTGACAGCCAGCATTATGACCTCCCTCATGCTCTGTTTCTCCTGCCTTGAAGTCACTGGCAGACAAAGAGCACTTTCTCCACATGGTCACCATCCAGCTCTGGCATGTAGGCCCAATAGGGCTGACTTGACAATGGTGGAAACTGCACCAAGGTACTTCTCACAGGACCATCATCAGTGGTCAAAACTGCTCTCAACAGTGGCCTGAAAGGCCAAACCTCAGGGAGGTTTCCAGTCTCTTCTCTAAAGCCCTAGAAATGAAGAGCTTTGCCTCCTTCCCCATCCCAGTGGAGGCATTAATTAGAAGGGATCTAAAAGGGTTCACAGACTCTACCCCAAGCTCGGGTTGGGCTTCACCAGTTATTGACACTCTACACCAAAGGAGAACACCACTGCTTCCTGGCAGCCCTATACCCTTAGGAGAAGGAAACCTTCTTTGATGCTTATCTGTCTGTTACAAACATTCCCTTTCCCACTAGTCCCTCCTCCAAGCCATTTGCCAGCCTTTTCCTCCTGCCTCTATGTTATGGCTTAAGAGGGGTAGGTAGGCATATTCTGGAGAGGAGCAGAAGTCCAAGGACCCAGGAATTTGGCATGGATTGGGGGGGTTGGAGAGCCCCAGGAATAAGCCTAGGAGCTGGTTTAAGGCCACTTTGTACATATAATGTATTATATGGGGTCTGGGCTCCAGCCAGAGAACAATCTTTTATTTCCATTGTTTCCTTATTAAAATGGTGTTTTTGGAAAAAAAAAAAAAAAAAACAGTAATGGCCAGGTTCATGGTGCTTTCTTGGAGGGAAAGGAGTGGGTAGAAAAATGGGATGTGGGCCTCAAGACCAAAAGGAATGTTGAATCCACCCATCAATCATCCCATCCCCAGATTAAAAAAAAAATGTTACCTATAGCAAAATAGGGACCACTGTCCCCAAAAGGTGAGTTTCAAAAATAGCAAGTAAAATGAGAAACCAAATGTCTAGTGGAACCTAAGAACCCAATTGCTCATCCAACCTAGACACAAAGGTCCAAGTTTGTTTTAGCCTCAGAAAACATACAGATTGTCATACAATGCAACTTAAGGGTTTTGCTCCTAAATTAGGCAAAAGCTGGGCCTGTGGGCTCTTTAAAGAGGTGGCCAGCTAGGATCAGCTTAAATTTACTTCTACTTATGGTCCCCAGAATGCAAATGCTTAGAAGTGTGTTCATTAGAGTAAAGGAATTATGAGATTCAGAAGCCAGAAGACAACAATCCATGAAATAAATAATAATGGTGACTAGTACCTTCTACAGTTTTCTGATGGAAAGGTCTAGACCACAAATGGTGCACAACCTAGCACAAGTCACTTAGAATAATGGAGAAGAAAAGCAGACTGCAATGTGCAGTGCCTATATTAGCCACAAGAGGTCGCTTCTAAAGGCATCTGTATCCCACCTACCTGTTCTCAATTCCCCTTGAATAGCCAGAATTGGAGCTCTCCAAGGTGGCACTAACTCATCTTCCAAGCTCCAAGATAAAGGTGTATGATTAGTTTCCCTGACATTCATACAACCAATTCTTATTTTTTTCATGAGTCCACAGTTAGCTGCAACTGATGACCAAACCAAAACCTCACTTGTTGGGTATGTGCCAATGGCTTATTTTTGTTGTTGGTCGTGGGATTGAACTCAGGGCTTGGGGACTGTCCCTGAGCTTTTTCCCTCAAGGCTAGTGCTCTACCACTTTGAGCCATAGCACCACTTTGAGTTTTCTGGTGGTTATTTGGAGATAAGAGGACTTTCCTGCTTGGGGCTGGCTTTGAATCACAATCCTCAGATCTGTTTCCTGAGTTGCTAGGATTACAGACATGAGGCACCGGCACCTGGCCCAATGGCTTACTTTTTACCCTGTAAGCCTTCAGGCTGACTCAACAGCACAGCTGGGCTCAAAGCAGTAGGAAAGAAACCAATGACAGAGGACAGATAAGGTTCCAACTTCTGAGGGCCTATGACATGAAGTATAGCCCCAAGAGGGATATGAAATCTAACCTCTTCCATACAAGCAACCTAGCCCAGCGCTCTTCTCTCAGAGAGTCACATCGCAGGCCCCAAAACACTAAAGTATATTGTTGGCTGAGGCTGACAGAAGGTAGAGGGCAGCTTACTCACATTCTCCACCTTCCCATGATCTTATTCTTTCCAGAACCAACTGTGGGCCATCAAAAAAGTGAAAAGTAAAAAACAAAAACAGAAACAAAAAAAAAACCCTTAAGATTTTATACACTGGCATCCACAGCTATGTAATTCATTCTTCTTACAGTTCCCATGGAGCAGCAACAATTCCTCAGAACCAGTAAACATGGTCTGGCCTGTGAGTCAAGAAGTCTATTTAATTCTCGGTTCTGTCATAAATTTGCTATATGATTAGGCAAGTCACTGCTCCTCTCTGGGCATCGGGAAATGAAGAAATGAAATCGTCTCAAAGTTCTTTCCACTTTTACGACTCAGAGAATGCTGTGTGCAGCAACATTAAAAGCAGGCAGGACACAGCAACATAGCAACAATGCCAAACAAAACGTCTAGCAAGTACAGCCATACAGTTCCCTCCTCAATTTCATCCACAAGCCAACAGCGGTTGGTATCGGGTCATTTCAGATGTGTCAAGAGGAGTGTAGGACGCCGGGCGCAGAAGCACGAATCCCCGCCCAGGATTCGAGATGAACTCAAGACTACAAGTCCCAGCATGCAGCATAGCAGGTCTCAAAAGCATTCCTTCCTCCCGGCAGGCAAATCACTTTTTCCTCCCCACCCCACCGCGCCCCCAGTCCACCCTATGGTGTAGTGTCTTGCACGCAAACGGAACTACGATTCCCACCACCCATCAAACCTATCGCGATCCTTATCCCAGGAGGCAACGCGCTCCCGCTCGCCCTGTGACCCCCTTTGCGCGTTGCAAGCAGGGAGTTGGAGTCCTCTGTGGATAGGTAGCAGGGCGTTGTCAGGACTACGCACTCTCCGGCGTTTGACTTCCCATGGAAGAGCTGGTCTCAGGAACAGTGGTCAAGAAAGGGTAGTAACTAGAAGGCGATACTCCACTCGGTGTCATCACCACACAATGTAGGGATGCCTGGGCTAAAATTAAGATGTCCCGAGGGGGCGGAAAAGGGAACAGCAGCTACCCAACTCGTCACCAAAAGCGTCGGGTTTTTTTTTTTTTTTTTTGTCGCAATGGCTTTTTTTTTTTCATTACCAATATGGCGGCCCAGTCCAGCCACACCTGACGCGGGAGTCATCTACTACATCCTTATGAATATAGGTGTCGCCGACAGCCGACTAAGCTCCATTCACAACCACACTGGCTCCTCCCTGCTCAAGCCGGAGGACTCCCAAGGGCATGGCCGCCTATATCCCATTACCAAAATGGCGAAAGGAGCTGCTTTCTTGAGAGGTCCTGCAGGTGGCAATACGCCTGCGCGGAAGGCGACGGTGTGGTCTAAGAGTTGGAGGGGAGCCCCTTCCACACGCCTGCGCGAGAACAGAGGCCTCTCGGTCTACACACAAACACCAATAGGGGAAGAGCCCCCCGGTTTCTGCGGCTGCGCCATGACCCCTGCGCGCTTTCCCAGGTGCCTGCGCGAGGTTGCAAGTCCCGCCCTTTTAGCTCAGTGCGCTGGCGCAGGACAGGAAGGCGGGGCTTCTGGGCTCCAGACGAATGCCAGCGCGGCTGCGCGCTGGGGGGTACCACCTCTCCGCGGCTGCGCGGGAGCCCGGCCGCCGGCTGTCACTGCGGTTGCGCGCGACGAGCGGCGATCCCGGGGCGCCTGCGCGGGTGGCTTTGCGGGCGCTCGCGGTAAGTTTGCGCCAAGTGCGCGGCAGCCGGGACGCAGACGGCGGCAGCGGCGAGAGGCGGAGTCCGGGACCACCCCCCCATCACCCCCCCCCTAGTCACCTCACGTACCACAACCTCACCTAACCTCTCACCCCCCCCCTCCAGTCCCCCAACCCCGGGATGGCAGCGCCCGCCAACCTTCCCGACCGGACCTGCGGTCGCCAGCGCCGGCTTTAACCTGTGGGACTAGGCCCCACCGAGGCCTGACCCCCAGAACCGGGACCCACTGTGCAGTCAGCTGCCGGGCCGAGGCTGAGGGGATTCTCCCCCCTCGCGGCCCGTGGGGAGGACGCTGCCGTCCCAGGGACTGGGGACCGGGGGGTGGGGGGGAGCCAGGACGAGGAAGTCGGGGCCCGCGTTGGTGAAAGAGAAGAGGAGCCGGAGTCAGGAGCGCTCCTTTTCCCCGTTTCCCCCCTCCCCCTGGGGCTGGGGGGGCCGGAGCACCGAGCGCCCAGCTCCTGAGGTGGATGAATGTGGGAGAAAATGGAGACCAAGACGATCGTGTACGACTTGGACACGTCGGGGGGGCTGATGGAGGTAAGACTGGCCCTCATCCCCTTCCCCCAGCGCTGGGAGGGAACCTCCGCCCCACAAAGCCGGCCCTAAGCTTGAAGCACCAGAGAGCTGGGGAGGGGGGGAGGGGGGAAATGTTCTTCCTCACCCAGCCTCTCCCAACCATCTCTGCAATTTGGGGGGCTGAGACCAGCTTCCTAGGACGTTTGCAGCAGTTTCACCTACCCGCCGCCCTCGATTTGCTCTCCTGAGGCTTTAGCCCACTCCATCTCGATGCACCGGCGGGCCTCCCCACCCCCTTCTTGCTGGCCCCTTTGTGCTTCCCCCACCACGTCCGGGTACCGGGCTTCAGGCCTCTCCCGTGCCGGGCTCTGGAGTCCCCCACTGTCCATACAAGGAAGTGGCGAGAAGGGAACCGCGCACCGTTTCCCCATCCCCCTCCCCCCCTACCCTGATCCTCCCCATTTGGAAGAAGCTTTTCTCGTTGTTGTGCTGCCGGAACGCGGTTAGGGTGGGCTGTCCCTGGTTCCGGGGACTCAGAGGTTCTGGGAGCAGCCTGGATGGGAGGAAGAAGGACAAAAGGGGGGAGAGGGGTGGGTGACAGAGAAGCTGTTCCTGGGAGGCGACGGACCGCCCGGGAGCTCCGAGTATGCACACACGCCGTTTGTGTGTGTGTACAGCAAATCCAAGCTCTGCTGGCTCCCCCCAAGACGGACGAGGCAGAAAAGCGGAGTCGAAAGCCTGAGAAGGAGCCTCGGAGAAGCGGCAGGGCCACCAACCACGACAGCTGCGATAGCTGCAAGGAAGGTGGAGATCTCTTGTGCTGCGACCATTGCCCGGCCGCCTTCCATCTCCAGTGCTGGTAAGGCTGGGGACCCCTTTGGAGGCCCCTGGCGGAGCCCCCTCGGTACATTCCTTCACCTGGCCTGCCCCTGCCTGCCGAAATAACGGGCGCTTGCAGCCGCTAGCTGGCTCTGCAGCCTCTGGGACGAGCGCCTCCCCGCCCCCGGGTGTCTGCCCAGATCCGGCCGTTTTGCGGGGAGGCGCAGCGGGGGTTCCGGATCCCGCGGTGGGGGTTGGGAGGAGTATGGCGAAGCCCAGTCTGAGATTGGAAGTCGCTGGGGAGCCGAGACCGAGCGGGCCCCGCGGTGGCGGGGGAGGAAGGGGAGGAGCTCCGAGCCCCGTGCCGCTCGGCGGCCGCGCGCTCGCGGCCCTCAGAGCTCCAGTCGGGTCGGGCTCTCCTCCCGGTGGGTACGCAGAGCCTTCCGCCGCCCAGCTTCTCTCGGTCCAGACTCCAGCGAGCCCGCGCTTGAGGCTCCGGAGGAAATCATGGAGGGTGTCTCTCGAGTCCGCCTC